ACGCGTTTCACGTACGATTTAATTTTCAGTATTTTTTTCACTGTTCTTTGGACTGTCATAGCTGAAACTTCTCTCTCACGTGCCAAATGTCTTATGGATTGAGTTGGAACTTTCTTAATTGATCTCTTTAGTTCTAAGTTGAAATTATGATCCCTCTAGGATTGTGACTTCCTGGCCCAGTTTTCCACTCCACTGCTCCTTCTTTTTTAAACTTATTCACCGTTCCCTTGATAGTTCTTGAATGGAATTTGAAGATGGAAGCCAGAGTATGAAAATTGGTACGATTACTAAAGGCCAGAATGATCTTTTTCCTCTCACCATTGCTCATCTTGGAAGACAGTGGGGCCGACAGAAAACGATTCTAAGCTGTTCTCCTTCTAGCTGAATAACTCAAAGGGTTTTTCAGTGATTCTTACCACAAATGGTATCAAGATAGCTAAACGTCTTACCTGAAAATCTAGAAAAAAAAAACTCAATTAGTTTAATTTTTTTTTTTTTAGATATTAAACCTTTTGAGGGATAGACAGTTATGCTGTTACATGATTTGGACAATTTTGCTGTTACACGCGGTATATTTAGATTTTTGGGATAGAGGTTGATATGTCGCTAAAGAAAGAAGCAATCCACCAACCAGTTTCTTAATTCTTAGTTTCGGTTTTGAAAGCCATCTTTGGCTATTTTATATTTCCATTTTCTATTTCTTTTTTCGTATTTTCCGTAGTCTATTATAAAAGTTCCCAGATATTAAAATTTATGTACCTCCTTTAAAACAGATGAAGAATGGAGTGGGTAATTTTAGGATGCATGAATTATTTTTCATAGGTTTTCTTCAGTAATTCCAAGAATTTCATTTTGAAGAGTTTCGGTTTGAAGAAATAATGAGACAATAATAATGCGTTACAGACATCCAAAATTAGTAATGCACATGTGTAATCTGCGTTGGCTTTGTCGTATATCTTCCACTCGAAAATGATTGATGTATTCTGCCATAATATATACGCGTGTGCATATGTAGGTGTTAATGGGGACTTGTGTGTTTGTGATGATGGGGATGTGTACGGACGTAAGCAGTTATTTCGCAAAAATTGATAGCATTTCTTATATGAAGATTTATATTTTTTCCCCACAGTGATGGATTTAATGTCAAGCAATTGCGCTGAAAAATATTCTGAAATTAGATATATACAGAATATATATATATATATATATATATATATATATATATATATATATATATTAAGATTACTATTATTATTATTATTTGTATACGCATTTAAAGAGATATATAGATAAATATATTGTTTACATATATCTTTTCATACATATTTATATATATATATGAATGTGTGTATGTGTGTGTACGCACAAAATGTGTATGCGACATCGGTAAAAATAAAAAGAGTACTTTGTAAGTCTTTATAGCTAACAAACAATAACTGACATATCTCTCTCTCACTATATATATATATATATATATATATATATATGTGTGTGTGTGTGTGTCTGTGTGCGTGCGTGTTCTGGCCTGATTATATTGATGACATTCTGTTCGTAAGTGTCTGTTTATCAAGTTAGATGTCTAATTTTATTTCCTCTATCTCTTCAAATTTTAACACACACACACACACACACACACATATATATATATATATATATATATATATATATATATATATATCTATATCTGTCTATCGATTTGCCTACCTATCCATCCATCTCAATATTTTTTATTTATCTAAGTTTGTTCTTATTTTTTGTCGATCTCTCTCTCTCTCTCTCTCTCTCTCTCTCTCTCTATATCTATATATATATATATATATATATATATATATATATATATATATATATATATATATATCGATAGATAGAGTGGGAGAGAGGGAGATAAATAAAATATATGAATATCTATTTATCAATATACACATACACAAACACACGCATATCGGTATTTTATATCAGTCTATCGATCTATGTATGTATCTATCTCTCAATATATATATATATATAAGCAAGTGTAAATGGATATAAATATCCTTTTCTTCATATATATATATATATATATATATATATATATATATATATATATATTCCTGTTTTGTTTATATTTTGTGCTTTCTTTTCAGATCTGTCTATGTCTATCTCTCTCACTATTTATATATGTGTGTGTGTGTGTGTGTGTGCTTTTTATGGTTTTGTGTCATGGACTATTTAGAAAGAAAGAGAGATGAGTGAGTAGATCGTAAGAAAAGGTGACAAACGTGAGGGCATGAAAGCTTCCAAAAGATCGGAAAGAAAAAGGAGTAGTTATGGCTAAGCCCATATACAAATATAGACAAATCAGAGAGATAAGACTCAAGAGAGACGGCAGGAAAGATGAAAGACACACAAGAAAACAAAAAGAGCCGAAGCGTACGATCTAAGAAAAAAAAATAATGTTAATGATAGAAGGAAAAGAGGAAGCCATCGAAAGCAAATTGGACGACACAGATTAAAAAAAAAATACACGGTTCGAAGCGGAACAAGTGAAACAAGAAGATTTTTTTTTCTTTTTTTTGTTTGCTTTTTTGTTTGTTTTGTTGAGAGTGTCGTGGCAGAAAGGGAAGCGATGGGGTTTGTGGAATAATAATTGTCTGCTGCGTGCAATGCAGAGGGTCAGGCAATGGTGCCAGATATTCGCCCAGTATCCAAGATGGGTAACGATGGATATTTCTTTCTTTCTTTTTCTTTCTTTCTTTCTTTCTTTCTTTCTTTCTTTCTTTCTTTCTTTCTTTCTTTCTTTCAACGCTCACCTTCTTCACTTTATTTTCTCCTACCCATTATTAATTCAAAGGATTTAATTTTTGGTTTGTTTGATTCTTTTTTCTTTCTTTATCTCTTCTTCACCTTTTTTTTTACTCTTCTCTTCATTAATTCTATTTCTTTCTTTCTTTCTTTCTTTCTTTCTTTCTTTCTTTCTTTCTTTTCTTTCATTTTCTTTCTTTCTTTCTTTCTTTCTTTCTTTCTTTCTTTCTTTCTTTCTTTCCCTTTTCCCATTCCTATTATTACTTAAAATCATTTACTTTCTTTCTTTCTTTCTTTCTTTCTTTCTTTCTTTCTTTCTTTCTTTCCCCTTTTCCCATTCCTATTATTACTTAAAATCATTTACTTTCTTCGTTCCTTTCTTTCTTTCTTTCTTTCTTTCTTTCTTTCTTTCTTTCTTTCTTTCTTTCTTTCTTTCCCTTTTCCCATTCCTATTATTACTTAAAATCATTTACTTTCTTTGTTCCTTTTTCTTTCTTTCTTTCTTTCTTTCTTTTCTTTCTTTCTTTCTTTCTTTCTTTCTTTCTTTCCCTTTTCCCATTCCTTATTATTACTTAAAATCATTTACTTTCTTTCTTTCTTTATTTCTTTCTTTCTTTATTTCTTTCTTTCTTTCCCTTTTCCCGTTCCTATTATTGCTTAAAATCATTTACTTTCTTTCTTTCTTTCTTTCTTTCTTTCTTTCTTTCTTTCTTTCTTTCTTTCTTTCTTTCTTTCTTTCCCTTTTCCCATTCCTATTATTACTTAAAATCATTTACTTTCTTTCTTTCTTTCTTTCTTTCTTTCTTTCTTTCTTTCTTTCTTTCTTTCCCTTTTCCCATTCCTATTATTACTTAAAATCATTTTCTTTCTTTCTTTCTTTCTTTCTTTCTTTCTTTCTTTCTTTCTTTCTTAGTTTACCTCCGTTTTTTTCTTTTTAAATCTTCAGCTCGCTCACCCCTCCCCCCCGCCAAAGTCTTAAGGATGCAGTTTTCCGACTCTGAAGATGGCCCCAACATGTCTGCAAACATATTACGCTCTATAATAGATCCCTGTACTCTCACTTCCAACAATGTTTATCAAATTATTTATCTTTTCTATCCTTTCTTTAAGATTTACAATTATAACATGTATCTGCGCGCCGCGCGTACATAAAACGTATTATACGTTCATACATTCTGCGTACAAATCATTTCCACGCTACTTTTCACAAATACAAGGCCCAAGAGCCACTCATGGCAGAGGGTTATTAAATGAGGTTCTTGTCAAGGCGAATTATGAGGATCTGAATGATAGATAAGGATTGACCCTGAACTTGAAGAGCTTATGATTTTAGGGAAGCAATCAGTTCTAGGGAAGTAGCAGAGTGGAACTTCTTCCTTGCTAATGGTATACGAAGGGAATGAGAATGACTCAACCCCATGTACGAGGCATAGCGGAACCTGGCTGTAGATATATGAAATGGTGCAATTAAGTAATGTACTTAGTTTGAACATTTGCCATAGCAATAGCAACGGAGTATTGAGAGGTTAACAGCATCTCTTCTGCTGAAAAGAGGTTGAAAGGTGGAAAACAATCCATCACCCACAAGATCGCACAAAAGTTTTTGACCTCTGATATGTGTCTTTGAAGATATCCTCTGCGGGTAAGGTAAGAATTATGTAGATATTGTTTGCAGAGTGAAAAGCAATTCGTGATGGGCCTAAGCAAGTGGATGACAGGTCGTTAAATGGGGGGGGGAAGGGGAACGAAAGTTATTGAGAGCTACAAGGGTGGAAAGCAATTCAGGGTGGAAAGCAATTCATGACGCACAGGCCAGGAAGACGCTTTTGAACGTTGCCAATGCAGGAACGTGATGATTGTGCAGCGCCAGCCCATATATGAGAACGATACTTCATTTTCGGACTCTTTTAGTGTGCATTTTCTCAAGGGTAAGACAGGTTTTGTTGGTTGGTTGATTCATTTTCTATGGTTAATCAACCCTTTGTAGGTGTTTTTTATATAGACAGAAAATACATTTGGATTGTAAGAACTTCTTTTTTGGAGAGAAAATGATTTATTAATACAGGTGGTACTAATTAACCCATAGCTGGGGAATAAGAAATGGATTCATACATTTCCTAAGGTTATTTGCGCGTCAGTGAAAACAAAGAATCCAAATTGAACTGGAATTCGGCTCCCCGATTAACAATTCCGAGCCATTATCCACTACGCATCCAATCTTACAGCACCTGGTATTCCCAAGCGGTCACCTATCTAGGTACTGAGCGGGCTCGACGTCGATTAGCTTCCGTGATCATAAAGGAACTGGTTATTCAACATGATGTGGCATAGATAGATAGATAGATAGATAGATAGATAGATAGATAGATAGATAGATAGAAATGGGCTGAGACAGATGGATATGAATAGGCTGAGATAGATAGATAGATAGATAGATAGATAGATAAGAACAGTTTGACATAGATAGATAGATAGATAGATAGATAGATAGATAGATATGAATAGGCTGAGATAGATAGATAGATAGATAGATAGATAGATAGATAGATAGATAGATAGATAGATAGATAGATAGATAGAAATAGGCTGAGACAGAGGGATATGGATAGGCTGAGATAGATAGATAGATAGATAGATAGATAGATAGATAGATAGATAGATATGAATAGGCTGAGATAGATAGATAGATAGATAGATAGATAGATAGATAGAGTTTGACAAAGATAGATATGAATAGATAGATAGATAGATAGATAGATAGATAGATAGATAAGAACAGTTTGACAAAGATAGATAGATAGATAGATAGATAGATAGATAGATAGATAGATAGATATGAATAGGCTGAGTTAGATCGATAAGAACAATTTGACAACGATAGATAGATAGATAGATAGATAGATAGATAGATAGATAGATAGATAGATAGATAATGAACAGTGTGACATACATAGATACATGTATATATACTTATATATATGAACAATGTGACACAGATGCATACATACATACGAAGTTTGGGAAAGAAAGAAAGAAAGAAAGAAAGAAAGAAAGAAAGAAAGAAAGAAGCAATCAATCAATCAAACAAACAAACAGACAGTGTATTCTTGTCTCTTTTATCAAAAATATTACTGGGGACATTCGGACAAGCCTAATACATCACTTTCATTATATGCAAATACTTTTGTATACACCTATATACGATGTTTCATACACGAGAATACATATACAATTGCAGATTCGATCTGTTTATCTATATATTTATCTATGTAATTCCTCTGCGACACAAATAAACCACTTTTCTGTCCCGTGCGTCCGCAAATGATTTGAATCTCCATCCGATCTTCATATCAATCGTAATATAATTTGGATTATCTCCGTTAATGCCTTCTGAGCGTAAACATCGCTTATTTCGTCCAAACATACCAAGCGTTCACTAATAAATCTATCACCATTGCTCTGGGATGGTACCCTGTCTCCTCTGGTAATTATGTTGCCTCTTCTACATAAACAGTGGTCTATCGTGCAACAATTAAGACCTTCGAGATGTTAACCCCACAAAGAACATTGGATTTTCATGCAGAAATTACCTCTTGCATTACTATAACATTTACTTAAATACGAGCTTTTTAGTTTGCTTATTCTCTGCTTTCTGCTGCCCCTTTAATATGTCCTGTTAGTGTGAAATACTGATAGCAGACACGGAAAAGAAACCTCCTACAGAAGATAGCGAAGGAGAGAGCAAGAAGAAAGGACTAAGCATAAACTACAAGAAGAAAGAATGCATGGTCATGAGTAAAATGCGATTTGCCGGTCGGGGATACTAAAATCAAGCAGGTGCGGAAGTTTAAATATCTGGGAAATGATTTTTTTAACGGAGGATGGTAACTGCCACGCTGAGATCCAAAGATGGATTGGTATCGTCAAGGACGCAATCCAAAAGCTGGACAGAGTATTGCGAGACAGGAGGATTTCTTTGGTAACAAAGAAAAGTGTACTGAGCTGCCACGTGACGTCTGTTCTCCTATACGGCAGCGAATGTTGGACGGTCTCCTCAAAGATGAAGAACGGACTCGAGGCAGCAGAGATGTGGTTCTACAGAAGGATGCTAAGGATATCATGGACCGAGCCTGTTCACAACGATGAGGTTTTAGAAAGAAGGCAAACAAGGAGGAAGAAGCTGATGAAATTTCTGGGACACGTAATGAGAAAGAGGGTCTGGAGAAACTGATACTCACAGGGAGAGCGAGACAAGGGAAAGCAACACAAGACATATCTGACGGGCTTAAGCAAGTGGATGATAGAGCGTTAACTGGGGCAGGTTGCAGAGGAACGAAAGTTATTGAGAGCTACAAGGGATATGGAGAAGTGGAGAGCCATGATTGCCTACGTTCTGAAAAGACAAGGCACATAAAAAAGCGTGTCAAATTTTCTATACCTTCTTTCCTTATCATGTGCTCTAGACATTTCTATTGTCTCTTTATGATTCTAAGAATAAATGTCCTTTTTATTTCCATTTTTCATAAAACTTCGTCGTGCTTTATGGTATCCTCAGCATCCTTCTGTAGAACAACATTTCTGTTGCCTCAGGTTTTTTCTTATATGAATGAATGACTGAATCAAGTACTATTCAAAATTCCACGCAACGTATTTCAATGTCTAATCGAAGGTGAGTTTCTTCATTTTCTTCTGAAGTGCTTTCATGTGACGTCCTGCGAGACACGGGAAATTTGACAAATGAACAGATTATGCTGCTTGATGTTCGATTTGTCTTGAACTTTTACTGGGGTGGGGTGTCTCATGCAATACCAAATAAAGCAAGAACCACGTGAAAGAAAACAGTATTGGCCAAAATTTAAACCGGCAGTGAAGGCTGGACAATCTCCTCACGAAGAAGAGACTTTAAGCAATCGAAGTGTGGTTCTACAGAAGGATGCTGAGAATATCATGGACCGAACATGTGAGCAACGACGAGAGGACAAGAAGACTTATAGTTAACACCAGGAAGACATTTCTAGGCCACACAAAGAGGAAAGAGGGTTTGGAAAATCTTATACTCACAGGATAGATTGAAAAAACGAGGAGTTTAGTTTGGTTTGTTTTGTTTTACGGCATATCAACCTCAATGGGTTATTTAATGCCGACAACTTTTTTTCCTGTTTTTTTTTTTTTTTTTTTTTTTTTTGTCAAAAATCTATTTCTGGTAATATTTTCTTTTCTGAAGAATGTATAGCTGGTAATATTATTTTCAAAAACGTATTGCAGGTAATATTTTTTTTCAAAAAATTATTGCTGGTAATATTTTTTTTTCAAAAACGTATTGCTGGTAATATTTTTTTCAAAAACGTATCTCTGTAATAGTTTTTTTTTTTTTTTTTCTTCAAAAAATCATTTCTGGTAATAATTTTTTACAAAGTATTTCTGGTATTAAAACCTATTTTTACACTTTTATAATGCTTTTTACCTTAGTTTAGGGGTTAACTATTTGCCCATAGCTGGGACCCTAACAGATGCTACCACCCCGGGTCAGGGTGGACCTGGGAACACCAGCAATTAAGAGGTGGCTCCACGCTCCTCAAAACCTCCTAATCAGAGACCTTGCTGCTGGACGTAGTTTATCGTCTTACCCAGAACGAAAAACACGAGGAGTAGACGAAAACAACGGATAAGCTACCTAGCGGGCTTAAACAAATAGATGGCGGAACAAGGTTTAAGTGCGATAACAAAAAGACAAAATTTATTAAGAGCTACAAAGGACGGGAAATTGCGGAGAGACATGATCGCCAATGTCCTGAAGGGACACGGCACCTAGACGAAGAAGAAGTAGTTGCATTGCTCCTCCCTTTCCCCACATTTTATTTAATTCACAAAAATTATCACAAGCAGAACATTGTGCGAACACAATAAACCTTATACGAGAGGTCACCCGAGTACAATTCAATATTTTATCATTAAATAGCTGCCTGTCAATAAGATACACACGGACTTTTTTTTTTTAATTAATTACTTATCTTCAAGTACACAAAAACAATCAATTATTATTAAGCAAGACAAAGTTTGGCATTTCGACCGGTGTTCGATGTGAGGATTAGCATTGAGCTTGAAGCTTAGATTCTAAACACTGTTTGTTTAGTATTCAAAATATTAATCACGCTTTCCGATGCACGATGTCAGATAAATTATATCTTTCAATTCAAATTGAATAACAGTCCCTTGATTACAGATTTACAGTTCATTCCAATGTACTGAGTGCAATAGAGAATCGGGTCAGCTCGATAAAAGACTCTGCGTTGGTTGTATGTGTTGCTATAAGCATCAGGAGTTGCGTCCCCTTCGACAATGAGATGTTGAAAGAAGACGAGTAGGTGGCGCTGCCTATTTGCATGTATACGTTACTGGACAGGTATTAGCCTATAGTCAGTGTGGGCCTGGGATTGGGAGAGTTATATAGGGATTTTCCAAGCGTAGCTTAGATGTGGCACATGGCCGAAAGTGGTGGGAATCCAGTGAGGATCGAACTCATCACTTACTCGTAATTGTTTTAGCGAGACAAGCTTGCTAATCATTACACCGTCTAGAGGTGCCCCTGGGAGAGGTATATAACACCAGTGGTTTTTTTTTTTCAGTTGAGACACAGCACCTTGACGTGGTGTAATAGTAGGAGTGTCTAGCTAAGTCAATTATGACTGAATAGTGAGTTCGATCCTCACTAGGTGCACCATATTTTCTACCTTGTGCAACATCTAAGCTATGCTTAGAAAATCATTTGGGGCTCTTTTTTTTTTTCCTCCAGTGACTTTCCTTCCGGATTCTTCTGAAAGGATTGGCAGAGGCGTAGAAGTGCGTTTTTCCCTTCGGGATTGATGCTGCAGATGTAGTATCTGTTCCATGCCGTAGGCCTTCTAACCTCCCTTGATTTCGCCCCACCGTTGTGTGACATCTGTTACGTAGCAGGGGTTATGACCGGCTATGACCAGCTTAGACAAGCGGCCCGATTGGAAACACTCGGGGCCCCCACGTTATAAACCGTCCTTGTGACACAACCTAGCTTGTGGACGGGGATCAAGTAGGTCTCGGGCGCTCTCGACGTGCGAAGACGCACTGAGATATACCTATTTTATTACTGGTTACCCCGTTTCAAGATATCTTATGACGGACCAGTTCTCACGCCTTCCTTAGTTCTACAAACCGTATGGAAGTCAAGTGTGTATTTCTCCCAGACACTGTTTACTAATGTATATCGTTTGACGTGGGAGGGTGTTAAAAAATACTACCACTCTTAATTATCTGACCTTAGTAGAGAGAATATGCTTATCTC